CGCAATTTTCGAATAAGAATGAGTCGGCAATTTTTAGTGGAGTCGAAAATTTGGAGGTAAATAAAACACCGAAACCCGGCAAATAAATAGCCAATCAAATTTTTAGAGGGGTCGAAATTTTGGAGTTTTCACGGTACTAATTATTCCATTTCAATGAAACTTAGTACAAAGATGCTCTAGGACAATGTACAAACCTAATTAGTTTGGGGTAAAAATCTGTTCATATTAATTCCCTAATAAGCATAATAATTCATAATTTTTTGGTTCTAATCACATTTCAATTAAACTTGGAGACATAGATTTTCTGTTACATTGCGCAGACCTCATTAGTTTTACACTCAAATCTGGTCATATTAATTTTCTGATTTGCATAATTAGTTTTCAGCTAAGTAATTTCGAATTATATTTAATGTGTCTCCAATACTCTCGGCACATGGGAGTTCTTTCTAAGCTTTCTTTGATTACTTTTCATATAATACAGTAGTCACACAATGAGGCAGTTCATATTTGTCTCAGTGAATCATTAATTTTTGACAGACACCTGTACAAAATACTTGGACTAAAGCCATCTAAAATTTTTGGTTATCTTGCATGTTTTATGAATCTATTCACATCTAAATGCAGCACTTTTTTTTTCAATGAGACATTTGTTTTTATACTAAAATATCTGAATTACTTTGAAGAAAGCTGGAAATTATGTCCCTTAAAATAATTAAACAAATAAGGCACCAATGTTTTTGTAAGATATTTACATCTTTTAAGGACATTCGGTAGACTGATTCCCCACTGTTGGTTCAACCCCAAAACTTGTTTGTATTCAAAATTAATTATGACAATGCATATTTAGATTGAAACAAACTATGATAAAGGGAATTATATTATATAACAAAGGGCAAGGTCACCGGAGTTCAACTATGTTATTTTATTTTTACGTTAGCCACATTTATAAATTGTACCGGTAGTCACAATTACGAGCCATTTCATGATTTTACTAAAACAAACAGATTCATAGAACGCAAAAGAGTAAAAATTTTTCACCAAATCATGGTAACGAGATAATTATAAGAATACAAATAATTAGAAAACTTAGTATTATGTGTTGTAGTTCCAAGGCGGAATGTAGTTTCCTCCTCGACATGCCTGAGTTACTTAGATTAATGATTATTAAGATTAAAAAATATTGTCTACTATAAATCATATTTATTTATTCATTCTAGCACCTATTATCTATTCAACATTACTGTAATCAGTTTAATTATTCACTAGGTTTTAATTTTGCTTATTTCGCTGACTGGAAAATGCGCTAAATTAAAATGCAGTTATTATGTAAAATTGAGCATAGAACACATTATCTAAATGATAAAACTGTGAATTTTTAAAACCCACTGAATATGTCTGAAATGGCAAATCTGCGAAATTTAAACCCAGTAAAAATTGGTCATTTTACAGTATATATAATTTTCTTATTTCGCATTTGGATTGGTATATGGAGTCCAAAACATAATAAAAAAGGTTAAAGGGTCATGTCGACTTCAAGATAATTTATGTTTATTAGTCCCTGTTCGGACGAAGTCCGAAAACGGGGACTTATAATTCGGTCTCCGTCCGTGCGTCCATGCGTTTCGATTCGATTCTGTTCATTCTTTGCATGTGCCTAGTACTTTATGTGGGACATATGCACATGCATATTTGCGATTCGATTAAAAAATGGCCGACTGGCAGCCATCTTGTTTTTTGAAAATGTTGTATTTTGGACATGCTTTGTAAGTTTTCATTCAAATTTGGTACATAGATTATACATGTTAGGATACATGTCCATGACGATTTATTTCGCAATTGGATCAAAGATGGTCGGCAGGCATTTTTTTTTAGCTCCGCTGTCGACTTTGTCGAGCAGAGCTTATAATATGAGTGATTGTCCGTCGTCCGTGTCAATGTTTTACTTTTTCGACTTCTTTTTGAAAACTACAAGCCTGAATTCTTTGATACTTGGTGTATATGTACCTTGGGTAGACCTCTCTTAGGTTTGTTCATTTCATGTTGATATCTTCAATTCTCTAATTTTGGTGAATATTTTTGTCATTTTTGGTAAAAAGTTATATTTTCGACTTCTTGTTAAAAATTGCAAGTCTGATTGCTTTTATAATACATATATAGGTACTACATGTGGACCTCTTTCAGATTTGTTAATTTTGTTGTGAAATCTTCAATTATTTAATTTTGATGATTATTTTTGTCATTTTTGATGAAAAGTGATATTTTTGACTTCTTGTTGAAAACTGCAAGTCAGATTGCTTTTATATTACATATATACGTACTACGTGTGGACTTCTTTCAGATTTGTTCCGTTGCTTTTTATATATACATTGTTCATTTTCTAATGATATCTTCAGTTCTTTAATTGTAATGTGCATTGCTAACAGTGGAGCTATCTCAGCCAAGAGGCTGCTTGTTTTGGCACATACATGTACTTTATACATGTTAGGATACATGTTCATGACAATTTGTTTCAAAATCTGGTCAAGGATGACCGATTGACAGCCATCTGACTTTTTGGCCTTACTACTATATTTCCACAATTTATGTACCATTTTCATTCGTATTTGGCACATACATCATATATATCAGTGTGTTTCATAATCAGATCAAAGATGGACGAATAACGGCTGTTTTTATTTTTGGCCATATTACTACTACACGGAACACGTGTTTTGATGTAAATAAACAATCTGTTGTATACGCCACTTGGAACTCAAGTTTCAAGGACACGCTCGCGACAACCCGTCTGCTTTAATATGACGAGCACAAAGAGAACTTTCAATAATTTAACGAGGACTGTCATTTTCAATGACTTGTTGGTATTGTGTTTTCTGGTCTGTGTTTCATGAGAAATACCTGGACTTGAAAAGAACTTAATATTCTCAATTCAATTTATTTAGAATTTACGTTTCCTAATAATGTCAGATGGTCTGTCACTCTTAACTAGAAGATGTCATCTTTATGTGCAATAATTGTTGTTGTTGTTTTTTTATTGTAGTAATGTACCCTTATCAAGACTTGGCGTATGCTGGCTTTCGATACATTCATATTTCAACTTATCCTGACTGTAAAGCGAAAAATTTAATTGGAAAAAGTGAGGTAAGTTGACATATTTTTTTGACTTAAATATTACCGTAGCTGCATTGGTTGGTTCGCAGCAGTATCTTAGACATGTCTTGGCTGATCACACTTAAACTTCACACACATATTATACAACTAAGGGTATGTAAGATGCATGCACATCCAGTCGTTTTATGATCAGATTTTACCGGTACATCCTGGATGGCAATTATTTTAATGTTAAAAATTTATCAAAATCGATTCTGGAATTCGTTCTCACTTAAACTTGGTACATACATAGGACATTATGGGACCTTGATGCACATCATTTTGTTTTTCAGGTCAGATTCAAAATGGCTGACTAGTGGCCATTTTGTGTTAATGAATGTAGTTGCGGAGCTGCATCTCTGACCAATGTTCAAAGTAATATATACATTATACATCTTGTCATATGCATATATGCATATTCATATTTTGTTCAACAATCCAGTTCAAGATGGCTGAATGGTGGCCATTTTAATGTTAAAAATTCATCAAAATTAAGCATTTCTGCTATTCTAGAATCAGATCTTGGGGTTGTATAACAGGATTTCGTTCAAACTTAGCACATACATTGAACATTATGAGACTTTGATGCACATCAGATCAGAAATGGTCGACTGGTGGCCATTCTTTTTTAATGAATGTGGTTTTAGAGCCATATCTCTATCATCATACGTCATATCACACATATGCATAGTAATTTGTTTGAAGTGATACATAATGGCCAAATGCTGGTCATTTTAATGACAAAAATGAAAACCATTTCTGCTATTCTGGATCTTTTTTAAACATTGTCTGCTATTGTCCATTTTGGTACACACATTGAGCATATAATGAATGAAATCACACTGAGACACTTTAATAAACAATTGTTACTTGAATAACTACAGATCCTTATTGTCAATAATCTTGTTTCCTTTCAGACAATACTTCGTGCATGTGCATTACATGCATTCAGTTCAATACATGATATTCGTTCCTTTGTGTTACAATGCGTAGAGATGTTTTCAAAAGGAGATTCTTCACCAACTATGTTGAAATATTTGGGCGCTAGAGATCTGACCTTATTAGAGGATTCCTTTGGTCAGTACGTAAGTATAGTAAGATCTTGTAACTTGAGTTCTACATTCATGCTTTTATTGTATGTTTCAACCATATATTCAATGTATGATAGTACATCACAACAGTTAAAGTTATATTTAATTTACTAACTGTGGTTTCTGTTACAATGTCGCAACTTCAAAGATAAATTCAAAGCCACAAAAGTGAGGATGCGGTAATGAGTACATAGAATAAAAATAGAATACCTGGGAGGACTTGTATATTTGTCTTCGTTCATGCGAGAAAGAATCTTCTTTTTTGAATTTGTTGACTGGGATGATGACAAATATGACTGGAAAGCTATTCTGAGGGACTAAGAGAAGGTCAAAAATGAGTTTCTCTTAAAAGAAAGTGCTGCTGATTCAAGAGAGTATTGTGTTCATGAGCAATGTCAGTGTTGATCCTTCATTTCCAAACAAAAAATTATAAAAAAACAAGAATAGGGATTAATATTTTAAATAATATTAAAATTTTGTTTCAATGAAAATATTAAATGACTTCAATAGCTTCTTAGATTTACTCACGTATGAAGTTTTCGAATGCAATGTCCACAGAAATATTACTCTAAATTTGCTCATTATGTATTCAAAAATACCATAGACCAAAGTAAAAATCATCAAAAATGCCATAATTCTCCCAAATAACCCGAAACAATGGCATTCAAAAGATTAAAGATCACAGGATTTACTTCTAGTTGGAGCAGAATGTATTTTACTTCCTGTTCGATACTAGAATGAAATTATGGAAAGACATCAAGCTGGTATTGAAATGATTGCTTTGATATTTTATATGTTGTTAGTGTGCGTAATCTCCATTTATGTATTCAAATATTGTTATTTGCAGGGAGACACCAAGGATATGATTACTTGTATAAGGGAAAACTACAAGAAATACGCTCTAAGGTGAGTTCATTATTAAATGTGCCATGTTTTTGGAGTAAAATAGTTTATTCAGGATGTTTATTCTTTTCACCATCATTTCCTTCTTTTCATCACAAATTGGCTCCAGAAATACTTAGAATGTATGAAAAAAGTGCAAAAAAAATTGGGCAAGAAAGTCTGGTTATGAAAAGGTGGAATATTGTGTGTTTGTGTGTCCCTTTGCTGCCGTTTGCCTTGAATCGGCTTACTTGGACAACGCCAAAAAAATTATGCTTAAAGGGTGGTAGTCATCTCGCCATGCATGTGCGAGATATATGGGTTTCATATAAACAAAGATGGTGACTTTGGCTGTTGCGCAGACCAACGAGTACAGACTGAGACGTTACCCAACTTTAATTAAGTTTTTTTAGGGGAGTTGACGGTGGTAATTGCAAGTGCCAGTCGCGCCCAGTTCAAACTTCATACTTTTGATTTCCCTTAGAAGAACGTATTAGATTGTGGAAAATTCAATGTTTATCAGCACAAATGTCGCACATGCGCAGCACAACGACTACCGCCCTTCAACACCTACTTATTCAATGCGAAAATCATGAACTAGGATCGCTTATTAAGTCTACTTTTTTGTGGCATGCCTGATGTAAGTAATTTTATTTAATAAAACGAACATTTTGTTGTATTAAAAATGTCACGTTACTTGTGACCTAATGACCTGAGATCACGGCAATTTTTGTCCATTACAGCATCATAATAATTGTTACTTAAAGCGGGGAGGGGGGCACCTCGAAGAATTGGGTCCCAAGCGACGATAACAACACAAGCTAAAAACGCAAAGGCTCATTGGTTGACGCTTGTCTGTAAACAATGACACGCTATGGCCATCTGATGCATGCGCAAGTGATGACTCCCTCGCTTTAAGCTGTTCACATTATATAAGGCCATTATGAGTATTATTACATATGTACTTCAGTTTATTTTGATTCATCTCTGAACTCTAAATCAGTATTTTCACACCCAAGATGCAAATGACGTCTGAGAGCAAAGAAAGTAGTCCCTTCAGGAATATTGTTTTTCGAAACATACCAGAAATAAACAATATTTAGAAATACAATATTTTTCTCTTGGGGTACATGAATATACTTGCAGAGTGAAATGAAATTTGAATAAAAGTAATGGCACTTTTAGGCAGTCACTTATTAGTTCCCGTTCGGACGAAGTCCGAAAACGGGGACTTATAATTCGGTCTCCGTCCTTGCGTCTGTGAGTCCGTGCGTTCGTCCAGAGTCATATTTCAGAATCCCTTGGACCGCTGCCATTCATTCTTTGCATGTGCCTAGTACTTTATGTGGGACATGTGCACATGCAGTGGTTTAGCGATTCGATTCAAAATGGCCGACTGGCAGCCATCTTGTTTTTTGAAAATGTTGTATTTTGGACATGCTTTGTCAGTTTTCATTCAAACTTGGTACATAGATTATACATGTTAGGATACATGTCCATGACGATTTATTGCGCAATTGGATCAAAGATGGTCGACTGGTAGGCATCTTGTTGTGTTTTTTTATGCGGTATCTTGGACGTGCTCTGTCAGTTTTCATTCAAATTTGGCACATACATGTACTTTATACATGTTAGGATGCATGTCCATGACAATTTGTTTCAAAATCTGGTCAAGGATGGCCGATTGACAGCCATCTGACTTTTTGGCCTTACTACTTCCACAATTTATGTACCATTTTCATTCGTATTTGGCACATACATCATACATATCAGTGTGTTTCATAATCAGATCAAAGATGGCCGAATAATGGCTGTTTTTATTTTTGGCCATATTACTACTACACGGAACACGTGTTTTGATGTAAACAAACAATCTGTTGTATACGCCACTTGGAACTCAAGTTTCAAGGACACGCTCGCGACAACCCCTCCGCTTTAATATGACGAGCTCAAAGAGAACTTTCAAAAAATTAACGGGGACTGTGTCATTTTCAATGACTTGTTTTGAGTAAAACTAATTTGCATATCACCCATGCAATAATGTTTTAGGGATTTTCACGGTCGATATGCAAACATCGTATTTCCATTTCTATTTTTATTTTGTAAACGAATTTTTGTCTATTTTTATCCAGTTCCAGTCATTCAGCAACATTTTCGGCATATTGGTTCCGAAATCAATCTATAAGCATAAACATAAGCTGACTCCGATAATGAATTCAATGTCGAAACAGCAGACTTTTCTGGCAAACTGATTAACCACAGCGCACATAAAACCTGCGTTCAACGTCTCCTTGACGCCGGTGTACCACCAAACACAGCAGCACAACTAAGTCGACACAATGTCAGCAGTCTAAACCGATACTCCAAATAAAGATCACCAATGCCGAATGAGCAACATTTTAACCGTTAACCAAGACTCATTCAATCCACGACCAGCAAGCAACATGACAAATGCAGTTGTAGCATGCAGCTCAGCGACAACCACTGACGGCAAAAGTTGCACGGCATGTTTGCCAATGCACAGATCTGTGGTGGAACTTTTAACTTCAACATAAACTGTGTATCATAGTCATTCAGTTCAAGTTCTGGTTCTGTTGTGGCCTCAACTAAACGTCCACAAGTTATTTATTGGGAGTTTAACTCAGATTAGACGTCTGATTATTTTATTTTCACACAGACAGTGACATGCGTTGCTAGGCATATAACTTTATAGCGAATTGCCAAGATAAACTACTCCTGAAAACCACTTCCTTATCAGTTCTCTTTGAACACAGTAATATTTTTAGGAATTATGCCAGTTTTGTTTGTTGTGTCTAGAAGCATCAGCTTCTTAGGATTAAAACTGCCAAAGTCAAACAAATTCTGCTGACAATGTTTCTACAATAAGGAAAATTATTAGTAAAATGGAAGTTTTTCTACTTCGGGCACTTATGTTTTGCCCTGTGTGCATCCGTGCGTTCGTGATCACCTGTATCTCGAACATGCATGGACCGATTAAGTTCAATCACACATTATATGGGACATATGCACATGCATTTTTTTCATGATCCGATTAATGATAGCCAAATAGCGGCCATTTTAAGGCCGAAAATGCATCAAAATCGCACATTATCACCATTCTGGACCCGGATCTCAGTTATGCATGGATGGATTTTGTTCAAATTTGGTACATACATTAAACATAATAGGACCTTTTTTTTTGGATCGGGTTTGAAATGGCCGACTGGTGGCCATATTGTTTTAAAGAATTCAGTTCTGGATCCGTATCTGAGACATGCCTGGATTGATCAAGTTCAAACTTCACACACACAAGGTACATCATGTCATAAATATGTATGTGCATTTGTTTCATGATCCGCTTAACAATAGCTGAATGATGGCCATTTTAAGGTCGAAAATGCATCAAAATCACGTATTTTCACAATTCCGGAACCGGATCTCAGTCATGCATGGATGGATTTTGTTCAGATTTAGTACAATGTGTTGTACATATGCAGGTGCATTTCGGATTTCGGTCATGATCTGCTTTGAATGTATATGTCACTCAATTATGAACGGAACGGGGACGTGTCATTGACAATGACTTGTTTATTATGCCACCAGCTGCAATACTGACTCTTCATTATTTGTGCAATTTATGTGTAGTAATGGAACAATGTCCCTACTATGTTGTGAGGAAAATTATTGGAAGGAAAATGGCAGTTTTTGTGGTTAGTTTATTTTGGCACCCACTGTAATTTTGACTCCCTGCTATTCAAGTACATGTATGTTGTTTGGGTAACGTAAATAGTTAACAGATAGTATGTATCCATGTGTAATAAGACCTACGTAGTAACAGAGTATATTCATCTGATTTTCTTGCATCAGCCAATGGAAGAAAGAGTTAGAAAAACTGGAACGCAGTGATGTCATTATTGATCAGCGAAAATCTGAAGAACTAAAAAAAAAAGGCAATGCATGCTTCAATAGTGGTCTTTATGAGAAAGCATTAGAATTTTATAATGATGCCATCAAAATTTGTCCTATAACAACTCCGTCATCAACTAACCACAGAGTCCAATGGTAAGTATTATGGATGTTGTACATGTCTGTCCCTATGTGCGTATGTCTTTTTTAGCTCCGCTGTCGACTTTGTCGAGCGGAGCTTATCATATGAGTAATTGTCCGTCGTCGTCGTTCGTGTCAATGTTTTACTTTTTCAACTTCTTCTTGAAAACTACAAGCCTGAATGCTTTGATACTTGGTGTATATGTACCTTGGGTAGACCTCCCTCAGATTTGTTAATTTTGTTAAAAACCGCAAGCCCAATTGCTTTTATATTAGATATATAGGTACTACATGTGGACCTCTCTCAGATTTGTTAATTTTGTTGTGAAATCTTCAATTATTTAATTTTGATGATTATTTTTGTCATTTTTCGTGAAAAGTGATATTTTTGACTTCTTGTTGAAAACTGCAAGTCAGATTGCTTTTATATTACATATATACGTACTACGTGTGGACTTCTTTCAGATTTGTTCTGTTGCTTTTTATATATACATTGTTCATTTTCTAATGATATCTTCAGTTCTTTAATTGTAATGTGCATTGCTAACAGTGGAGCTATCTCAGCCGAGAGGCTGCTTGTTTTGTTAGTCCCCGTTCAGGCGCAGCCTGAAAAGGGGACTACTAATTCAGGTTATGTCCATAATTCCGTCTCCAACATTTTCTCAGAAATTCTACAGCAGATATCAGTGAAACTTGGCAGGTTGATGAACATGTCCCCTCCGAGTATGCACGTAAATTTTTTTCCAGATCTGAAAATCCCAAGTGGGTCTTTTTCACGATTTTATCAAAAATTGCCTCTCCCGGCAACATTGACAAAACGTCTGCGCATGCTCAGAATAAATTAATTACTGTAAAATACTTTATTTTTGCTTGCAACATTTTTTTGCTATTTTCGCTGAAGGAATGTTTCAGTTAAAATAAAATTCAGCGAATATACCCTTTTCTTATATTTTACAGTCAACTTGTCAAAAATCAATGAAAATAAATTCAATACAAAACACCCAGAAAAAGTCTTTTCAGCGAATGATAATTCCAGCTGAAATAAAATATTTTACAGTAGATTAGATCTGTGAGTAAGGCTGCTGTTATTACGGCACGTGATTTCTCCATTGCGTGCAATTTATTAGGGGCCCAAGCCCGAAGGGCGAGGCCCCTATTCTTATTGTCCGGTTTTTTTAGGGGCCCAAGCCTGAAGGGCGAGGCCCCTATTCTTATTGTCCGGTTTTTTAGGGGCCCAAGCCTGTAGGGCGTGGCCCCTATTCTTATTGTTCGGTTTTTTCTTCTTCTTTCATCTTCTTCTTTCTTCCGTAACTTTTTTCGTCAAGCCGTTTGAGAAAACTGCTGAACGGAATGGTCTGATAATGCTCTATACTGATAGTCCCTAATGCGAACTGGTGCAACATGCTTTCAGAATTTTGATTGGCCAATTAGTTTGGCAGCCATATTGGATTGAAATAAAACCGGAAGTGGCTGTTTGACCACTTTCTGAGGGTCTAGCGTCTAGATTTTT